TTATGTAACTAAATAAATACATATTTTCTGAGTTTTGTAGGTTAGTTTGTAGTTGCAGGACCTTCCCAGTCCTACAGGACAGTCCAGCTTGTCCGACCGGGAAAATAGCTTGTAAGAATGGTCCTCCCTCCATCCGCCGGAGCGGTCAGAGAACGCAACGGAATGCTGTCCGACAGTTCAGGATTAACTAAACTCGCTGCTGATGTTTTAATCAAACAAAGGCTAAGTGAAATTCTGTGTGACTGGCCAAATGAAAAGCAGTGCAAGTTTGCAACCTAGACTGGAGACTTGCTTCAGAAGGTAGTATAACTTTGGTCTGTAAAAAGTAACAACATTAGACTGCTTAAATTTACTGATAGGCCTATAATAAAGTCTCCTTTAAAATCCCCTTTAAGTTAATCAAAATAAGGGAAGAACACATTTCTGTAATTGGCAATAAAACAGGTCAACTGCAAGGCAATAAAGCAGCACAATAGGCCTATAGTTTTGTAAAATAAAATGCAGTGCTAACTAGACAGGCCAAAATCCCCTAACCCAAAAACTTTATTAAAACCTTGTGATGACTAGCCTAGATCTAGCCCATTTGTTGCTTTTCACCTTGTCCCACGGCCTAGATATAATGTAACCGCCAGACTCTGACGTGATTCAGAACAGTAACACTTTGGCGGGAGTCAGGACATGAGGCAATCTTTTGGCACATATGAAAAATCCATCTCTGGTATCTCTTCATAAAACATTTTTTAAAAGATCCTTGTGATTAAGGCAGAGGCTAACATCACTCCATAATACTTAATTTTCCACTGTATATCAGCAAGTAATAAACCCTTTATTTTTTGTTGCCACTAAACACATGACGGACATCACTAACTTTTGTCAACCTTGTAACAGAAGTCTATCTACTTTAAATGTAATTTGACATGATTAGGTAGATGGGAGGTTTTGTAGTTATTACTTGGCTTTCGGCGCCACCTTGTGGTGACATGGAGAATCTCGTAATCTTATAAGGGCTAGTGAAACACTTGGTAATTGAATGAGAGTGTCAGAGGGCATCCATTCATATTTAGCTTTCATCAGGAGAAGCGGTCCCTTGGGAGCATTTCTCAACTAATCCATGGACTCTGTTATTTACCAGAATTAGGTCATAGGGTTTAGAGTTGAGTGCATTTCAGATTTCATTAACCCCCCCACTTCCAAAACAAGGCTGGTTTATGGAGAGTTGTTATATCAATAAGATATTTCTTATTATGTAATTTCTTTACACATGTACAAATATTTACACATGTACTCATGTTTATTTTTTTCAAGAAGATGAATTATTCACAAAGTATTTACACCCCTTGACTTTTTCCACATTTTGATGTGTTACAGCCTGAATTTTTTAAATGTTTTTTTGTCACTGGCCTACACACAATGCCCCATAATGTCAAAGTGGAATTATGTTTTTCGAAATTTTTACAAATTAATTAAAAATGAAAAGCTGAAATGTCTCAAGTCAATATGTTTTCAACCCCTTTGTTATGGTAAGCCTAAATAAGTTCAGGAGTAAAAATGTGCTTACCAACTCACAAGTTGCATGGACTCACTGTGTGCAATAATTGTCTTTAACATGATTTTTGAATGACTTCCTCATCGCTGTACCCCCCCCCCCACACACACACACACACAATTATCTGTAAGGTCCCTCAATTGAGCAGTGAATTTCAAACACATATAAACTCAGCAAAAAAAGAAATGTCCCCTTTTCAGGACCCTGTCTTTCAAAGATAATTCGTAAAAATCAAAATAATTACACAGATCTTCATTGTAAAGGGTTTAAACACTGTTTCCCATGCTTGTTCAATGAAACATAAACAATTAATGAACATGCACCTGTGGAATGGTCGTTAAGACACTTAACAGCTTACAGACGGTAGGCAATTAAGGTCACAGTTATGAAAACTTAGGACACTAAAGAGGCCTTTCTACTAACTCTGAAAAACACCAAAAGAAAGATGCCCAGGGTGCCTGCTCATCTGCGTGAACGTGCGTTAGGCATGCTGCAAGGAGGCATGAGGACTGCAGATGTGGCCAGGGCAATAATATGCAATGTCCGTACTGTGAGACGCCTAAGACAGCGCTACAGGGAGACAGGACGGACAGCTGATCGTCCTCGCAGTGGCAGACCACGTGTAACAACACCTGCACAGGATCGGTACATCCGAACATCACACCTGCGGGACAGGTACAGGATGGCAACAACAACTGCCCGAGTTACACCAGGAATGCACAATCCCTCCATCAGTGCTCAGACTGTCCGCAATAGGCTGAGAGAGGCTGGACTGAGGGCTTGTAGGCCTGTTGTAAAGCAGGTCCTCACCAGACATCACCGGCAACAACGTCGCCAATCGGCACAAACCCACCGTCGCTGGACCAGACAGGACTGGCAAAAAGTGCTCTTCACTGACGAGTCGCGGTTTTGTCTCACCAGGGGTGATGGTCGGATTCGCGTTTATCGTCGAAGGAATGAGCGTTACACCCGAGGCCTGTACTCTGGAGCGGGATCGATTTGGAGGTGGAGGGTCCGGCATGGTCTGGGGCGGTGTGTCACAGCATCATCGGACTGAGCTTGTCATTGCAGGCAATCTCAACGCTGTGCGTTACAGGGAAGACATCCTCCTCCCTCATGTGGTACCCTTCCTGCAGGCTCATCCTGACATGACCCTCCAGCATGACAATGCCACCAGCCATACTGCTCATTCTGTGCGTGATTTCCTGCAAGACAGGAATGTCAGTGTTCTGCCATTGCTAGCGAAGAGCCCGGATCTCAATCCCATTGAGCACGTCTGGGACCTGTTGGATCGGAGGGTGAGGGCTAGGGCCATTCCCCCCAGAAATGTCCGGGAACTTGCAGGTGCCTTGGTGGAAGAGTGGGGTAACATCTCACAGCAAGAACTGGCAAATCTGGTGCAGTCCATGAGGAGGAGATGCACTGCAGTACTTAATGCAGCTGGTGGCCACACCAGATACTGACTGTTACTTTTGACCCCCCCTTTGTTCAGGGACACATTATTCAATTTCTGTTAGTCACATGTCTGTGGAACTTGTTCAGTTTATGTCTCAGGTGTTGAATCTTGTTATGTTCATACAAATATTTACACATGTTAAGTTTGCTGAAAATAAACGCAGGTGACAGTGAGAGGACGTTTCTTTTTTTGCTGAGTTTACAACCACAAACTCCAGGGAAGTTTTCCAATGTCTCGCAAAGAAAGGCACCTATTGGTAGATGCGTAACAATACAAAAAGCTGACATTGAATATCCCTTTGAGCATGGGGAAGTTATTAATTACACTTTGGATGGTGTATCAATACACCCAGTCACTACAAAGATACTTGGTTGCTGGAGAGGAAGAAAACCGCTCAGGGATTTCACCATGAGGCCAATGGTGACTTTAAAACAGTTACAGAGTTTAATGGCTGTGACATGAGAAAACTGAGGATGGATCAACAACATTGTAGTTACTTCACAATACTAACCTAATTGACAGAGAGAAAAGAAGGAAGCCTGTAAAGAATACAAATATGCCAAAACATGTAACCTGTTTGCAACAAGGCACTAAAGGAATAATGCAAACAATGTGGCAAAGCAATTCATTTTTTGTCCTGAATACAAAGTGATATGATATGGGCACCCGAGTGGCGCAGCGGTCTAAGGCACCACATCTCAGTGCCAGAGGCGTCACTACAGACCCTGGTTAGATTCCAGGCTGTAACACAATCCGGCCGAATTTGGGAGGTCCATAGGGGTGCGCACAATTGGCCCAGCATCATCCGGGTTTGGCCAGGGTAGGCCGTCATTGTAAACAATAATTTGTTCTCAACTGACTTGCCTAGTTAAATAAAGGTGAAATAAAACAATATACAAGAAAAATACAAAAAATTGTGTTTGGGGCAAATCCAATACAACACATTACTGAGTCCCACTCTCCATATCTTCAAGCATAGCGGTGGCTGCATCATGTTATGGGTATACTTGAAATCGTTAAAGACTGGGGAGTTTTTCAGGATAAAAAAAAAACATAATGGAGGTAAGCACAGGCAAAATCCTAGAGGAAGACCTGGTTCAGTCTGCATTCTATCAGAAACTGGGAGATGAATTCACCTTTCAGCAGGACAATAACCTAAAACACAAAGGCCAAATCTACACTGGAGTTGCTTACCAAGACGACTGAATGTTCTTGAGTGGCCGAGTTAGATTTTCAAGTAGATATAAGTCAAAACTATGGCAAGACGTGAAAATGGTTGTCTAGCAATGATCAACAACCAATTTGACAGAGCTTGAAGAATTTTGAAAATAATAAATGGGCAAATGTTGCACAATCCAGGTGTGGAAAGCTCTTAGAGACTTACCCAGAAAGACACAGCTGTAAAGGTGCTTCAACAAAGTAGACTCAGGTGTGTGAATACTTATGAGGTATCTATTTCATTTGTAATACATTTGCAACAATATTTAAAAACATATTTTCTCTTTGTCATTATGGGGTATTGTGCGTAGATGGGTGAGAAAAAAATATATTGAATCCATTTTGAAATCAGGCTGTAACAACAAAATGTGGAATAAGTCAAGGGGTTGGAATACTTTCTGAAGGTACTCTACAGGTATGTGAAGAAAATATTCTCACTACTCTCAGGTCTGTAGTCCTGTAGTACTTCACCTGTAGCTATTTTTGTCCCAAAACAAGTAGGCTAATTTGAAATCATTATGTCAGTCTCAATCTGGGGTTGTAAATAATGAATACATTCACGCTCAAAAAATATTTTCTTGTATTGTGTAGTTAGTATGGTATTACAGATAATTGAATAAAATCTGTAGTATTAACACATTCCAAACCAAGATCATAAATATAGTGAACATCAAACTTAAACCTAAGTGCACATTTTATAAATCACCTTCACATTTCTGTCCCTTTCTTCCAATCATCTCTCCCTACACTGTACCTAAAAATGGTGAAAGAGGAAGTCAATATACAACATTCACAGTCAATAATATTTATTTGCAAACTTGTACAGGGGTAGACACGAACAATAAAGTGATATCTGAATAAAAATTATTATACACAAGTTGGGGACACACCTTGTGGTCAACAAGGTCAAATGGGGTCAAGGCCTGTCATCAGCCTGAGCGCCAGTGTGGTGAGCTGGGGTCTGGTAGCTGCCCTCCTTCACCATCTTGTCCCGCTGCTTACGGATCTCATATAGCCTCTTGTGCTACAGACACAGAAAGAGAGAGAGAGAGATATCCACGTCAGACACTTACTGCACATTCAGAGGGAGTATTGAGAGAGGCTGTCAAACTTTTTTTGGGGGGGGCGCAAGCTCAAAACTTCTTAGAGGTATTTGTGTGTTTTTTCAGCTCATTGCTGATCAAAATCACAATTATCTTCATTGATCAACTCAATGTATTTTTAACAACAAAAACAGTCAAACAACAAAAGCATTTCCTATAAGTCTTGACAACAATAATTTGCTCATAATTTGGTAATCAACATCAAAGCTTTCTCCTTCTCCAACTATTCATGAAGTCAACAGAAAAAGGTAGAGCTGGACAGGATGGACTAGGGGTGTGAATGTTTAAACATCAAAGGTTTAAAGGAAATTGGGATCCTTAACGTTAAGAAAAATCCCTTACCGAAAGACTACGTTTTTTTAAACGTAGATGCAGAAAGTAAACAGCATAGTGGGTCAATTTCCGCAACAATAAGAGCGTTGAAGAGCAAGGCTCAACTTCTCTGCTGTTTTGGTGCCCTGGCTACCACGATGTGAACAGCGCGAAGCGATGTACATGTGCAGATACGGTGTGAGAAGTGTTGCATCTTGTTCATCTCAACATCCTAGGCTATTCATTGATGACTTGCCCTGCTTTACTGAAGATGCGAGACATTGCAAGCCAAGAATTGCGAGATACAGCTTTTGATTACCGATAGATGGGCCTAGTGCACGGTTCTGACTGTCTGCCTGGTGGCCGACCTGCCTATACTGTGCCCTTCCCTCTCTCTCCGCCATTCTCTTGCTAGCTCGCTATGAAAGATGCGAGTGTTTGTGTTCTCGGAAGTACGGCAACTAATCAGTCTCCTCCAAAAATACTGAATCTTAGGAGTCGATTCCGCTACGAATCTTGACACTCAGAAATAGGAGTCGACACCGGGAGTCGACGTGCAAGGAATCAATTATTTTGGAGTCGACTCTACACTACTATGTCATCGTCGTTAACAGTTGGAAAAATGGCAGAGAAAGGCAAGCAACAGCAGCAAAGTCCTGTATGGCAATACTTTGAGAAGTTAAATGAGAAGGAAATGCAAACTTTACAAGGTGGAATTGAGGTACAGTAATGGTAGTACAGGTGCAATGCTTAACCTTCTGAAAGGGACGCACCGTGAGACCTAGACCGTTGCTGGCAGCAGTGCAGCTGCATTGTGAATTCACGTGGAATTGTATGAATTGGAAAACCAATAAAAAAATATGTTTATTTAAACTTTAAGAACATGTTTCTATTTGTCACATCCCTAGGATGGACACCCAGGTAGGATGACAAGCAGTTATTTTATCAAAGACATGGACATCAACTGACAACTCTTCAACAGGTCTTGGTTGATGAAATCATAAGTGTTTATTGGGAAAGGACATGAAACCCACACACAATCTATCTTCACAGTTCACACACACACTCTTCAGCTCAGATATCCTACACTCACCGTCTTCTCTCTGTGCATGCACTCATAGAAGTCCTCAAACTCGAGCTTGCACTCCTTCTTGGCACGGGTCTGACCAATGCCATCTGCACACTCGATCCACTCCTTCTCAAAGGCGTGGCAGCGCGGCGCCCGTTTGTATGGTTGCTCTCCACCCTGGATCAACATCCATTTGTCCATGTTGATGCCCAACTTCCCCTGGAGGTCGATGAACGGCATGATGCTGCAGGAGGTGGGGGGGGGGGGGGGGGGGGGAGAAGAGCAAGGGTGATGCTGAAGGTTTCTGAATTTGTCCAATAAAAACTATCTTTTTAGTTGCAAAACTGTTTCCGTTTGGAGTAAATTGTTTCCGTTGCAAAACGTTTTACAACTGTTTGCTAACGTTACGTCTTCGGCTAATGAATACACCCAATGTGTTGGAGGTGGATGAAATCTGTATGACATTTCTCATTGGTATAGAGCGCCCTCTAGCTGTACATTATTGTTCATATAACTGGAGGCATCAATATCAATTCAGGAACAATAGCTAAATGTTCAGTAAAATTAGCTAACTAACGTTACTAGCTCTCGTGAACCCAGGGGGCCATACCCAGCCATATGCGCTAGCATTACAGTACATGAATGGGAAAGCTAGTTAAAGTGGAGCTGACAGCGTTTTAACTACTTTGCAGATATGAAACAGACAGACAGTCATAATATCAGTAAAACATATTCCCAGTTCATAAGAGGTTTTAAAAATAGGTTCTATTTGACTCAACATTCCACGACGTACACTATATGACCAAAAGTATGTGGACACCTGCTCGTCAACATCTCATTCCAAAATCATGGGCATTAATATGGAGTAGGTCCCCTACTTGCTACTATAACAGCCTCCACTCTTCTGGGAAGGCTTTCAACTAGATGTTGGAACATTGCTGCGGGGACTTGCTTCCATTCAGTCACAAGAGCATTAGTGAGGTCGAGCTCTGATGTTGGGTGATTAGGCCTGGCTCGCAATCGGCGTTCCAATTCATCCCAAAGGTGTTCGATGGAGTTGAGGTCAGGGCTCTGTGCAGGCCAGTCAAGTTCTTCCACACTGATCTCGACAAACCATTTCTGTATGGACCTTGCTTTGTGCACGGGGGCATTGTCATGCTGAAACAGGAAAGGGCCTTCCCCAAACTGTTGCCACAAAGTTGGAAGCACAGAATTGTCTAGAATGTCATTGTATGCTGTACCGTTCAGATTTCCCTTCACTGGAACTACAGCAACAGACCATTATTCCTCCTCCACCTAACTTTACAGTTGGCACTATGCATTGGGGCAGGTAGCGTTCTCCTGGCATCCGCCAAACCCAGATTCGTCCGTCAGACTGCCAGATGGTGAAGCATGATTCATCACCCCAGACAACGCGTTTCCACACTTGGTTGCTCCTAGACGTTTCCACTTCACAATAACAGCAATTACAGTTGACCAGGGCAGCTCTAGCAGAGCAGAAATTTGACGAACTGACTTGTTGATAAGGTGGCATCCTATGACGGTACCACGTTGAAAGTCACTGAGCTCTTCAGCAAGGCCAGTCTACTGCCAATGTTTGTCTGTGGAGATTGCATGGCAGTGTGCTCAATTTATGTAATGTTCCTTCGTTAGATTTGAGCTCATCTTGCTCTGGCTAGCATTAGTTGTTGATCTTGTTGTTGATGTGCATAACTGAGGGAGAGAGAGAGCCTACTTTTTCATGGTTGTTCTATCAATAGGACTGTAAAGTTCCCAAATGTAAGAGGACTCCCATGGTATTGACATATTTGAAGAAATCCATTCAGGTATATTTTGTGGCTTTTGGCGAATGCGTTCTTATGATCTAAAGTCACGCTGTGTCCAGTTCAAAGTGAATGATGGCAGGTCTGTGTGGCAAATGGCTTGTTTGCATAAAGGCCTACTGTAGCTCTGATTGGCTATCACCGGTCTGCTTAGACTCTGTTTTTATTTACTGCAGTGTCTATTAATTGTCCAAACGTGGTCCTCTGTAGCTCAATTGGTAGAGCATGGTGCTTGTAACGCCAGGGTAGTGGGTTCGATCCCCGGGACCACCCATACCTAAAAATGTATGCACACATTACTGTAAGTCGCTTTGGATGAAAGCGTCTGCTAAATGGCATATTATTATTATTATTATTATAAACGCACGGCTGCTTTCCCACTATATTGCTATAGAATTTTCACAAATGTCTTAGTATTTGTAATTCCCAAACATTTAAGAATTTATGAAAACGTTAAAATGACCATATCTAAGTAGCCGTTTGTCAGAACATGTTTTTAAAAGTGTCATTCTTCCTGGGGGTGTATATGAACAGAATTTAGTCAGATTTCATGTTGCTAAAATGCTGTCAGTTCCACTTTAACGTTTGATTGCTAGCTAGCTAGCTAACTAGCCAAGGGGGCAACGTTGCAATGTGACATTCATACAAGCCCATTATCTATCTAGCTAGCTAGTATTATTAACGTCGTTAATTATAGCTATGGTAGCTAGCAATTTTAGCAACCATGCACTTATTTCACTGTCTAGCTAACTGTTTAGCAAGCTAGCTGTTTTGATAAACGGACATACTGACGTTAGCTAAACGCTAGCTAGTTAGCTTGCTAACGACAACACAGGCCGTTCGCGCTGTGTGGTGACTCGCTAAACAATTTTCCCCACCTTGTTGTTGAGCAAGCATGTACAATAATATGTTAGGGTTGACTGGTCAAACGTTATATAAATATGGTATACATGTCATTATTTACCGTGTTTTGGAGAAGTCACTTTAACCTTCTGTTTAGCGAGGCTAAGCCTGAAATCAGATGGTCGCTTGGCAACCTAGCCTATATTTACGACACTACTGTAAATATCCTATGGAAACGTCTCAACCGACTGGACACAATCGTATTTGACTGTAACATTACTATGACTAGTGTTGGGGAAGCTACACAGAACATTTTGTTCACCAAGCTACCAATTACTTAACACTGGAAGAAATTAAGCTACACTAAAGCTACCTTTAAGAAACTGAAGTTACTTTGAAAAAGTAGTTAACTACATCCAGCCTACTTCGTGATAAATTATATCTAAATCTAAAATGTAATAGACTACAAATTGTAATAACAGATCACTCTGGAGTCAGACGTTAACAAAATGTGTATTTTAACCTATTAAATGACTAGTTGAACTACAGTAAATGTAGTTCACTACTCCCCAACACTGACTATGACCAAGTATGTTATGCATAAAGACTTTGATTCGTAATTAAAATCTAAGATAAAATATTTTCTCGCTATGTGTGTGTGTGCTTCATACCCTTTTCCCCACGAATAACCACAGTAAGACAATATTGGTGCAACAGAAAATGTGTTTATTTTCCCAAAATATGTCCACAATGTCTTTCACAGTCCTGTGTGTTCGGCCGCCTACAGGGGCTTACAAAACAGTGCCAGGAGATACACATTTATATATAATACTTTTATATTGCTATTTACAGTATATATTTATAACTATTTTATCCACATCCAGTGGCGACCCGTCATTCAGGGCTGAGCCCCACCTGTTTTGAGCCCCACCTGTTGCCTGTTTTGCATGTTATTTTGGCATTAATACGTGTAACATATCAGTTTGCAAACAATGTAAAAAATAAAATAAAAATCTTTGAGTTAATAAAGCCCCATACAAACATGGTCTCTTTTTTGTTTTCTTGAGTAAGGTAGCTCCAAAATGCAGAGGTTGCAGCCTAGCTCAGTGCTTTCTGTGGTGGAGGTGCAGCCAGCGGAAAATACAGAGCGTAGGGGTTGGTAATGTTCTCTAGTTGCACCGTGATTGGCTCAGTGTTCTGTCACTCATGGGGACACTACCTCACCGCAAAATCTACGGGTAGAGCTCGAAAATTCAAGCCCCTCGGGTGCGGCCATAGAGTTACATAAGAAGTGCCCATCCAAGAAGGCTCAAGGACATCAAATCACATTATATCTACCGTAGCTTTGATTGGACTGATCATGTCAACATCATACTTTCAAAATCTTAGCTAACAAGCTAGACAAGCAGTCATCATCATGAATCACGTCAACGATCTACTGGCAAATCCTTTTCAATCCTTGTCATATAAAGAGAAATTATAGATAAAACATATCGGTGCTCATCGGCCATTGGACATGAACATTACACAACAAGTTTGGAAATCGCAAATTCAACAATGAGTGGTTTGGAAGGAATCAGTGGCTAACTGCAAGCGTTGCAAAGCAATCACTAGCCTGCTATTCAGTGGAGTGGGTGTGTGGTCCAAATCTGGGTTTAAGGGTCTCTTTTCCAAGCTTAAAAGGATAAACATTCATCCTGTCAATCCAGCATGACTTCTGCCGCGTTCAAAACCACTGGAAACTCGGAAATCTCAGACTTCAGTGAGTTCAAGACAACTGGGAACTCCGACTGGGAGAATACGCTTTGAACGGTCATCCAACTCGGAATTCTTTCTAGAGCTCCGACCTGAAGATCACTGATGTTTTCTCTCCGACTTCCCATAAATCCAGAGAATGCCAGACTTTGATGACAAAGTGTGATGACAAAATTTGCCCACAAGGACCGCCATGCCACCTTCCTGTTCAAGTGAGCACAGCACAAAAAGGCGAGTCAAAAAAGGAATTGTATGCTCCTGCATAAATTATGTAATATGCCAGGGAGATATGTTGTGTAGTAAGTGGTTAGTAGCCCATGTGCCTCACCCTAATAATTTGGTCCCTTTCCACCTCATAACTTAGCCTACTGTTCGGACTTGGTTGTGCACATGTAGCCTATAGCCTGTTTTAGAGAAATGTAATCATCAAATATTGTAAGAGCTTTCATTGTCTGCTTATATGCCCCCTTTATTTATCCTATGGATCTAACTTGGCGTACAGGGAGAATACTGTAAGAACGGCCCATGTTCTGAATTCTGTCGCTGTACATTTCAAAAGTGCTGAACAAATAGTTATATTGACTACGTCCGTCCTAGCTCGCTCATTGTCTTACTCGCAATTACAGATTGCCTCTGATCTGCTCGTCGTCCCCTTATGCCATAGTTTGTACATCTCAATTGTCAGTAGAAACCACATTTGTTTAAGCAAGTCAGCCATATCAGCTATGTTTTTTAAAAGGCAGTAAATGAGGCTGAATGCTGTTTTGCTGCCAGACAAGGCTCTGCTGATAGCCAGGTGTAGCAGTGGTAAGGATTCACTCCATGGTGCTGAAAAGAAAGCTCTGCTGTTGGGACAGCTTTATGTAGGCCCTAACAGTTTGTGGGCACCGTTTGTCACCATTATAGTGCAACAAATCTATTGTTTAGTGTTGTGTAGTAGCTTTGCTGGCATGCATCTAAAACATTTTTTTCTGAGTTTGCCCCACCAAGATGTACATGCTAAAATCGCCACTGTCCACATCTATGTGTGTTATTAAGGGTAAATCCTCCTTTCATATTTAGGAAGTTCTGTTTCAATCCGTGGTACATTCATGTGGTTTCTCATAGGCAGAAATAAGCCAAAACTGAATTACATCAACAGACCATACTAAGCGCTGGCCAATCGTATGATTCAACCCAATAAAGGTTATTTGAAATGAAACAATGTTCCCATATAGAGATCTCTCATGATGTCTATAATAAATGGGGATATCTTTAAGAACTGAAATTGAAGCACATGGTTGGTAAACAGCTAAAATAAGCTCTAGGAATTATTCTAGAAGAAATAACAATGAGTCTGCAAAATGTTGTTACACTGTAAAAAGGTTTCTGATAATCAACATTTGGCTATGATTGTACAAGTATGATTTTATGCAATGGACGAAAACTTGCCAATGAATAGCAAAAAAATATGAATATTTAAATAAAGTGCACAAGTGCTCATTCATAAATTCACTCGATAGTGGGACAAACAAATACAATCACAAGAAGTCCTTCCATTCTACTATTGCTTTCTACTGAAAATGTATATTGTGTCTTTGTCTTTATAGTCTTTGTGATTGAGTAGCACACACTTTCAATCTCTCATACACATTCACTCACACTCTCTCTCTCAAACACACACACACACACACACACACACAACTATTCGAGTGGGTTAGACAGCTAGCATGTCAGAAAGCCAGTGTGTTCGTCAGTGAGTGCGTCATCACTGTCTGTAAGGCAGGCATTCAGTCATTCAAGTGGAACGGTCTGCTGGTTAAGTATTTGTCTATCTTCCACGACATCGACTCTCGTTAACCCCTAATTTCTTCTTCTTCTCTGTGCAGGTGAGATTCAAGTGCAGATCGCCTCTAAAAGTCATGTGTCTGTACAAACTACTGTAAACTCCACCAGTGTATTAGGTACGTACTCTGCTTGTAGGCCTATACACCCATACAAAACGCAGTTCATGCAGACTCATGCACACAGCAAATTCAAGACCATTCAAGATCATTCAATTATAAATAGAAAAAAATAGGAAATCAAGCCAACAAAGTCCAGTACAAATGCCACACTCACACATCCCTAAAAATATCCCCTTCCATAGTACAAACCCCATTCCCCACAATCCTTCACTCATTGGTGTGCTTGGTGACATTTCACCTTGTTTCCTATTTTTTAGCAGTATTTCTTGTGGCAAATTTGTATGGCAATTTGCTTAAGTAGCCAAGGCATTTTTGCACCAAGTAAACTAAAATCGTTGTATTAAATCTCAGAGAGGTAGAACCCTGCCAATTCTCTGCAAGGAGAACGACATGTTGATAGAATGACAGACAGACATGTAGATAGGTGTTGTCTGCAGGTAAGACTTGTTGTAAAAAATAAAAATAAAGAAGCAAAAAAATTACTGAAAAGCTAAATCAATCAATGGAGAAAAGCTAAAACAAAAACATTTTGGGTTTGTGCAATCTCTGAGAGCACTCAAAGTCAGTCGGACTCTTAAACATGGAGGATGACGTTATCCGGGGGACAGTGCAGGCTGTCAGAGGTGACAAGGGGTCTGCAGGTGTCCTGGGGTTGAGGGGGCCGGCAGCTCTTGGGATGAGGCGAGTCACAGTCGTCTGACGTCAGCTCGGCGATGTCATCTGATTGGGTGTCGGACATCTCCAGGTCGCTGCGGATGCTCTCGGGCTGGGCCAGAGTGACATCGCGAAGCCCCTCCCTGAGCGACGCCCCTGGCGACAGGCCTAGAGCTGAGCCAAACAGAGCCCCGCCCCTTCTGGAGCTGCAGTCCTGAGGCTCCTCCCCCCCTGAGCCGGGGCATGCTGCCATAGCAGCAGGGGGCATGTTTAGGTCTTCCTCACTGGTCAGGCAGAGGTGGCTGGGTTTAGTCTCGATGTCCACCTGGATCTCCAGGTTATTACAGTCCCTAGGAGAACAAAGGAGAACAAAGACATTTAGATTCACTAGTCACCATATCATCTGCTGTATCCAATGTCACCTTGCCTACCATTATAAGTTTAACTCAAAGCGGATTTTAAAACATCTGTCGGGAACTAAATCAATGGCTAAAATAAATATTTCTGAACCACTAAGTGCTGCCTGCATACCACACAGACTAAAGACAAGTCAGATTCAAGAGAGATTCGAGGAAATCAAGGAGTTGCATCAGAGACAACAACAACATGAGACCGACAGAAACTGTTTGAGACTAGATGGAAAATTAAGGAGGAGGAGCAGATTTTCTCAAAATCATGTGTGTGTGTGTAAGAGAGGGGGAGATTGTGACACTCACCTGTCAGGGAGTGTGTAGGAGGAGATAATGGAGCCTGCCATGCCCCGGGTGCTGGCACAGTCACTACCTGCTCCCAGACTACCTGTCTCTCTCTGGGCACCGTCCTTCCCCAGCTCCCCTCCCTGGAGCTCCAACCTGGAACAACACAAAACATGATTATTACATGGTTATACCAACAACAGTTATTACAGTGTTTAACATATGCCACATTATATTTACTCAGCAAAAACATTTACAGCAGCGGTTATAAGAGCAGTCCTCATACAACCAAGATACATAACTTTCAAAGGGACAACAACAACTGTAGTTAGTTCGTTTAAGGCTTACTTGGCCCCTGTTTATACTGTCTCTCTGCTTCCAATACACAACATTCCCCTCCATAAGACGTACAGAACTGGTTCTCTTCCCTGCTGGGCCCCCGCCATACCTGTTGTATTTGCCAGTCCTGGCTCCAAGGGCGCCCCCGGCCAAAGTGTTGAAGTGGGGGGTGTCCCCCAGGACCCCGGGGGCCACAGAGAGGCCATCGCTGGGGGAGGTGGTGCTGATGCCACTGGCTGCCCCCTCCAGGCTGCTCTCACCCAGGCTGGGGGACTTGAGGGCCCGCCACGCATCAGCCACTGGGGGGACAATTATTTTATATTTTTATTTGATGCATGATGAGATATTTATCAATTCAATTCCATTCAATATTTCTTGTCTCAATTCATTTGCAGTTTAATGACGTTTGTAACATAAAAGAGAGACATACATGTAGGTAAGAGTCATTTTACAGTATTAAGTCTATTAAGGCAAAAATGATAGCTCTTGAAGTCATGCTCACCTGTGATTGGGCCGTCGTCCTCGTCAAAGTCGATCCGCATGCCACGCCCCTTTCCTCTGCTGACGCCACAGCCTCCTCCGCGGCACAGAGATATGGGCACAACTCCATAGACATACGCCAACATGATGGGCACACCAATACCCACACTGACAGCTGCGATCACAGGAGCTGTGATGATTGACAGGGCCACTCCCCCTGTGATGGCCAGGTTCCTCCTGTGGCGATTGGTCTTCATCCCATCATAATGGGCGTGAATCTATCACAAAACAAAAGATAGATATTAGTGAAGGTGAAGTGAAGTTATACTGTAGATACACATCCTGAACTTTCACAACGGTCAAACAATGTAGCCTGGTCCCAGATCTGTTTGTGCTGTTTTGTACAACACCCATAGGTGTTTGCAAAACAGCACAAACCGATCTGGGACCAGGCTAGCAAAAAAGGGCTGTTGCAGCTGAAACGTCTGTACTGTGATTCAGATAAAATTAATATTATAGAGCACTTGGGAGAAGTAGGTCATATGTCGTGTAAGGGGATTTCTTCCTTTTTTCACACTTATATTAGTATATTAGTACCACCATCAGAGCTACTTTACCTAGGCCTATTACAGCCTTAAACCTCTGGTTGTGAGTGGGTGGTAGGGAGTTGGCTGAGTACAACTGGTAATACTCTGAAAGGTATTTCTACAGCTGGGAAGGCTTAGGGGCCTGGAACAATAAAGTGTGTGTTGGAGGGCTATATAGTACAGCATTCAAATGGGCTTAAATTCAAACTCGCAGTTATACTGTATTTCCACAAGGGTGCGCCAAAGAGATATCCTTCAAATTAGGTAATTCTGCAATTCTATTATGACACACCATTTCTTCACAATTATGTTGTTTCCGAAGAACAGTTGTAGCATCATACCAAAACTAAAGAAGAGTTTCCTATGGTTTGAAAGCTTATCTATTTCAGGAATTGTATTTCTCAATTACTGGAATATACGCAGGAAATGAAAGTACCACCATGAAAGTAAACATCATATTGAAACTAACTCAATTTCTAAGAACAGCACTGTCGCATTTAATTTCTACAATGGATTGCTTTTCTAAACTCATTTTAATGTCTATGCACTGACAGTAAACCACTCTAAATAAGATAATCTGCTAAATGACTGAGTGTAGGCCTAAATGTGAGGGGGGGGGGGGGGGGGGGGGGGGGGTTCAGTAAGGGGTTGCCCACCTTGCGCCCCACATAGACGGGGAGGCCAATGACCATGGCAGGCACAGCGATACCAGCGATGAGGGTGATGCCCACTGGGGCTCCGATCAGAGTGCCCAGCTGCCACAGGATCTTCTTCTTACGAGTCCATGGCTTCTTTCCCCAGAACGTACACCCTGATGGACTGAGAGAAAGAAGAGAGAGATAGATGGAGGGAGGGATATTGAGGGAGAGAGAAAAAAGGAAAAAAGGGAAAGAATGAAATGGGTAGAAAATACAGAGAGAGCGAGAGAGAGATTGTGAAAGAGAGAAAAAGGAGGAATGAAGAGAAAAATATATAGAAAGCAAGGGGGAGAAATAGGTGAAGAGCAAGGGTGGGGGGGTAGACAGAAGACTGATTAGTTCTGGGTCCAAGTTCAGGATGCACCACAGCAACAGAGGAGTGGAGGTGAGGTAAGGCTGTATCATTATGAATTCAGAGGCCGCTGCTAAATGTCACACAGCATTGAGACATGCATCACTGCCTGTTATCCACTATTACAGCATGCTCATATGATGTAAGATGTGTTAGACAGAATCTGTGGAAATGTTCATTCATTTTACTGTATGAATATATACTGAACAAAAATATAAACGCAACATGTAAATTGTTGGTCCCTTGTTTCAAGAGCTGAAATAAAAAAATCCCAGAATTCTCTCAAATTTTGTGCACAAATTTGTTTAAATCCCTGTTAGTGAACATTTCTCCTTTGCCAAGATAATTCATCCACCTGACAGGTGTGGCATATCAAGAAGCTGATTAAACAGCATGATCATTACACAGGTGCACCTTCTGTTGGGGACAATAAAAGGCCACTCTAAAATGTGCAGTTTTGTCACACAACACAATGCCACAGATGTCTCAAGTTGAGGGAGTGTGCAATTGGCATGCTGACTACAGGAATGTCCACCAGAGCTGTTGCCAGATAATTATATGTTAATTTCTCTACCATAAGCCGCCTCCAACGTCGTTTTAGAGAACCAACCGCAAACCAGGTGTAACCACGCCAGCACAGGACCTCCACATTCGGCTTATTCACCTGTGGGATCGTCTGAGACCAGCCACCCGAACAGCTAATGAAACTGAAGAGTATTTCGGTCTGTAAAAAAGCCCTTTTGTGGGGAAAAACTAATTCGCTGGGCCTGGCTCCCCAGGGCATAGGCCCCTACCCAGTCATGTGAAATCCATAGATTAGGGCCTAATTTTTGTATTTAAATTGACTGATTTCCTTATATGAACTGCATTTATATATTTTTCAGTATATTTGGTGTAGCCTTCTTATCAAAACAATAAAACGTTTAATTCAGTTATGTTTTGTGTCAGTATTTGCTTTGATCTTAACTAATTCCATAAAATGTGTAGGTATTTCTTCTTTAAAATAATTTCTGGAAGAATAAAAAGAAGCACCAGTCTAGCCCCAGTAATGACAATCATGCTTAAAAATTGGGTGGATGTCATGTAGGCCTAAACCTAATGTAGCAGGCATAATTGAAAGAGTTCCCACATCCGGTTTTCAACGGAAAAAGAAGCTAGGTTGAATTAGCTGTATCCCTGAAAACCGGATGCATCCGGTTGTTGGCAACTCCGCTAAGGGTGGGTAGGCCTATACCAATTTTTGGCACATGGAAAGTAGTCTACTACTACATTACATACATCTATGTTGACGTGAACTGCCATAGTCTTGAGAGTTACCTGAGGTAGTGCAGGTCAGAGATCTCCTTCATGCAGAGCCAGCAAAACTCACAGCCACACACTGCACAGGTCATGTGGTTACAGCTGCCGTCATTCATCTTGATTATGTAGGCACCACATCGTGGGCAGGGCTTGATATCATCAGCTAGAGATAAGAGAGAGAGAGAGTGGGTAGGTTGATTAGTGGGAGTAGGATTCAGGACGACGTTGATCTGAGGTCAATTTTATGGTTTCCCGTTAGGATATGGGGAGGGTAAGCTGATTCTAGACCTGTGCCTAAAAGGGACTTCTACTTTTACCAGAGACAGAGGAGGATTGGTTTGGAGACATTGACTGCCAACAGCTAGTATAAGAGACAGGCTGAGACATAAGAGGTTGTGGTAAGGGCTAATTTATACAGACTTATTGTTCTGTCCTTTGGAACCTGAGAGGAGGTCTAAAAATTGCTTTATGAGAAGAGGGTGACTAATATAGAGACATAACAATAACATTATGAAGAGTCATCAAAGCACTTACCGGGCCCGTGCTCCTGCATGTAGCTGGGTGAGTGGTTGCTATGCGTGTGCAGGAAGAGTGACCTTTGCTGGCGGGCCGAGTCACAGGTCTGGTTGGGGTGCCACGCCTGCTTGCAGTGGTAACAGAACTCAGCCAAGCAGCCCTCTCTACGACACACCAGCCTGGGGCAGCTGGCACAGCCCGAAGCGATCACTGCAAACCTGGCAGAGGGAGAAAGAGGGAGATGTTCGATTTTCAGAAAACCTTTATTGGGCACAATTCGGCTAATGTGAAATCAATGGCAAAGTGAAAACTACATCAGTGCACTGAAAGAGAGAGAGGGAGACAATGGGAGGGAACACAACAGCCTTGGAGGAAATTGGGAGTCACTATCAAGTGGTTAAGGTAAAATGTAAATACACTGTAGCTGGACAAATGGCTACATTTACTGAGCCGTGAAAGAGTTAAGGAAAAAGAGAGGAAGGAGAAATAGGCAAAAGGTGATTTCAGGCTGTCTGGAGTAACCTCAACAAAGGGCATGAGGGGAAACGACCAAGAGCTAAACTTCATAGCATATTATCATCATTGTATAACCTGATCTCAGAGCATTTAGTGTTATTCTGTATGTAAATCCAAGACACTCAATTTAGTATGATATGTTCGTTTCGTATGGTATGTATTAATTTCTAGATGTCCATCACCCATTTCGTATGATATGTTACGAATTTCGATTCTTATTATACATGTTATGAATTTGCAAAGCATGTTACGAATTTGCAAAACATATGATTTGTTAAGAATTCTAGCTAGGTGGCTAACGTTAGCTAGCTGGCTAACATTATCTAGGCTAGGGGTTAGGGTTAAGTTTAGGCGTTAGGTTAAAGGGTTAAGGTTAGGGTGGGGGGAGGGGGGGGGGGGGGGTAGAACGACTTTAATATTGCAGATTGCGGCTTCCATCAATGTAATTATCTGCATAATTTCCAATCCCCCATATATTTTTGGCCTAAATATATTTTCCTTTATTATTTTCCCCTAACCCTATCACACCTCCCCTAATTGGAGTAAACTAATGGACAACAACACTTAGGCTTCTACTTCCTGCTTATACATACTATATAAATTGTACGGCCACAGTGTATTTTACAATAGTTATCTTTTGTTTATTTTTAATCCCATCCTTCAGTTACCCTCAATCCATCCCCTCTATCTCTGAACACCATTCAGTTTTGATTTCTATTTGCCATATATTTTTAACTGTGCTGTTTCATAAAACTTCTGAACCTATGTACATTTTACGGACACAGTATATTTTACATTAGTAATCTTGTTGTTTTTAGTCCCACCCTTCAGCTCCACTCAACCCCTCCCCTCTATCTCTGAACACCATCCAGTTTAGAGTTTTATTTGTCATATATTCGTTTTTACCTTAAGTAACCATCGGTCTTATGTAACTACACCAAACGTAACATATCATACTAATTTGAGTGTCCCGGATTTACGTTTACTATGTTACATCTAGTCTATGAGACGAGGCTGATCTACGATACCATACACAAACGTCTCAATACCAGTGGAGGCTGCTGAGGGGAGGACGGCTCATAATAATGGCTGGAACAGCGCAAATGGAATGGCATCAAACACATGGAAACCATGTGTTTGATGTATTTGATACCATTCCACCTATTCCGCTCCAGCCATTACCATGAGCCCGTCCTCCCCAATTAAGGTGCTACCAACCTCCTGTGCTCAATACAGTAAGCAGGCTGCCTCATCACTATGAGAGGGAAGGCAGGGTTGTTATCTTTTCTAGGATGTAACAAGATCATTAAGTACTGTATGTAAAGATGAAATGGTATTTAATCTACTATAACACTATTAGTGAGTGACAGTGTTCAAAGACAGACTGCGCAAAACTGAATTTTATTTGAAAGTTACTCTTTCTCATCAGAAAACAATGCTAAAAATGACATACGACCCGTCGCACAACTATTGCTTTGAATGTAGGTCTACTGGTATTCAAGCTGAGCACTCAATCTTATTGACCACCACTCTCTTAAAGTCCTCCAGCATTGACAAACCAGATGTCAAATACTGAAACTGTTGAAACCCTCCTCTGTCTCTTTCAAAACCTCAAACTAGGGGTAAATGTTTACACTGCTATGGTTTTTCCCCTTTCACACAGTTCCTAGCAGCCCATTAAATCCAGTTTGAGCTGCTTTCTTTCCCAATGACTTTGTTTGTTTATTCAAACTGGCAACATGTCTTCAAGCCTAAGCTCAGGGACTTGTTGCAACAGAGCAGAGACACAAGTTGACAAGGCAGCCTTTCCCCGTAGGAACATTCCATGTTAACGCTGCATTTGATTGGTCGGTTCTGCTGCGGTGGAGCACGATAATGACTGACATCATGGCTTTGACCGGAGGCAATCTGAGGAGCACAATGCTGACAAGCTGCACGTTCGGAGCAAATGCACTCTGACAGCCACATCTAGTGTCCAAGATTTCATTGCTTTAAATGGTGTGAAATTGCTTTGTTTTCCACCAGGCTATCATTACAGTACAAATGTAATACAGATACAAAAGTGAGATAGACAGAACCCTCAGAAACACACATTCCCTGTCTGTGACTCTGTACACACACACTCAGTCCAGTGAGTGTGTAATGATCCCTTTAATTATAGAAATCCCAACCTCTCTGTTACCCCTGGCAACCTCTATGCCATATCACTAGTCACCATAGCAACTGACAGCCTGCGGAGCGACCGGTGGACCTATCGCTGCTCTGATTGGTTGTCTCCCACTGTCAATCAGGCAGAGTGAGGTCTGATTGGGGAATGGAGAGGGAACTGACCGATGAGACGAAAGGACAATGAAGTTCAAGAGTTAAAGGAGACGTTCACAAAAATAATAGATTGAGTGTGTGTGTGTGTGTTTGTTTGTGTCTTTGTTTGTATACACTACCAGTCAAAGGTTTGGACACACCTACTCATTCAAGGGTTTTTCTTTATTTTTACTATTTTTTACTTTGTAGAATAATAGTGAAGACATCAAATCTATGAAATAACACATCTGGAATCATGTTGTAACCAAAAAAGTGTTAAACAAATAAAAATATATTTAAGAAAGAAAGAAGAAAGAAGAAAGAAAGAAAGAAAGAAAGAAAGAAAGAAAGAAAAAGAGAAAGAGAAGAAAGAACAGAAAGAAAGAAAGAAAGAAAGAAGAAGAAACAGAAAGAAAGAAAGACGACAGAAAGAAAATCCCCCCCTCCCTCACTCCCCCCCCCTACCTCCCTCCCTAGCTCCCTCCCTCCCGCTCCTCCCTCTCCCTCCCTCCCTCCCTCCCTCCATCCCTCCCTCCCTCAACCCCCCCCCTCCCTCCTCCCTCCCTCCCTCCCCCCCTCCCCTCCCTCCCTCCCCTCCCTCCCTCCCTCCCTCCCACTCATATAGACTATTAAGAGCGATTGAGACAAATATATCCCAGAGACTCCATTGCAAAGAGACAATCCAGGCCACTTTACTATGACCATGGCCACATATTCCTTATCTATGACAATGTAGTTAGTACCATTATGACATACATGTGTATGGAATCTGCACTCTTCAAGTGGGTCAATGATGAGACATATACGCGCGTGCGCACACACACACACACACACACACAATGTACTGCTTTGGAAACCTCCACTCTAGTTGACCCAAACCGCACTAGACCATTCCATGGTAGGACTGTAGGGAGGAAGTGGTAGTGCAGTGAGTCACTCAGGTCTCTTTAGAATGTAGGTCATCTATAGTCCAGCTCACTGTCTTGGTTCTTCCCCTCTGTCTGACAGGATTCACATTACCAAACAGATAAGTTTCCTTTGAATAGAACACCATCATCTGTGCTTTCCCTCCCACAGACACATGAATGCATGTGTCACACACACACACACACACACACACACAGACACACACCCTTGCGTGTGGCACACACACACAAACATGCTCATACCAGTTCATTAGACATTTCCCCATATCACATTAAAACGATCAGCCTCCGAGCATTGTCATTCCCCTTGTAACCACAAAATAGTCAAAAATTCTAACCTACTTAGAGAATTGTAGGCTATAAACCTTTCCTCTCATCCTCACTTTTGTCACCTCTGCCAGAACCAATAAAGCTTGTTATAACACTGTAGGTCATTCCAGTTTACGACAATCAGCCTCTGACTTATGATATAATTGACAGAACACTGCTTTGAAAGCATGAATCTGCTAAAAAAAAGGTTATGGTTAGGGCTAATGGTAGAGGTTTGGTAAAGGTAAGGGTTAAGTTCAGGGTTAGGGGTTGAAATCCTATTTGTGGTCAGAAAGCGCTTTAAGGTACTTCCGCCCCTTCTAGCATGGCTAGACAGTGATGACTCTATAGAGTTAGGGTTAAGGTTCAGGTTTACACTCAGTTTAAGATTAAGGTTAAGGCCAGGCAACAATGAGAGTTGATTCTTACCCGCAGTCGGGCGCAGGACACCAGCGGCAGTCCGGGTCGGAGGCCAGGCAGCGTCGCAGAAGGAACTCCTCATACTTCTCCAGCAGCGCTGCGTCGCCCAAGATGTCCGCCACCTGATGAGGTGCCAGTCGCTCCGAGCACTCGGGGCAGCGGAGGTGGACGCGGCTCTCTGTGATCTCGATGCGCAGGTACTGGCGCAGGCAGCACAGGCAGGAGCGGTGGCTGCATCCCAGCAACTCGGGGAGCTGTTCGGGGGGCTGGTGCACCAGGCACAGGGGGCACTCCAGGAAGTCTGCTGGAGGAGAGGCGCTGGAGGTGGTGGAGCTGGAGGACTGGGGCGGACCCAGGGAGGTCCGGCTGGAAGAGAGGTGCTCTGCTGGGGTGGAGGTGTGAGCGGTGGCTGGGCCCTGGGGAACGTCCGTCGCGGTGGTGGTAGGGGCTGGGTTAGGTGTGGGGGTGGAAGGGCCTACGGGGGGAACAACAGGGGTGAGTTGCTGTTGTTGATGGTGTTGGTTGTGGAGCTGAGATAAAGGGGTAGCCGCACCTGCTTTGGCGCTCCGGGAACCCCGTTTGCTGTGGAAGAGGCTGTGGAAGGAGATGCGTCCTTGCCGTTTTCCCGATGCCCGGCATTTGGGGTTGGGAATGCCGCTCACCGAGGAGTGGGGGGATTCCGAGTCCTTTTCTGATCCCATTTTCCCAGAAAGTGACACACGGTTGCTTCTTTCCTTTTCCGCTCTTATTATAGTCTTATAGCTTTTCTCACACACAGGGGTACTTGTCCTCGGGTGAAACCAGAACGGAATGTCACTGATACCCAGTTGGAAACCCTTTTTCCCTTCCTCTTGAACCCACAAATGGAACAATAAGCGAGAAGACGAAAGAGAAAGAAAAAGAAACAAATAGCCAAATTCCCCTTCCCTCCCTCTGGCTTTCACACCTCACACTCAGCTCCAAATCAAGAAATGTGAGAAAAGTAACAGGTGTGCTTTCGTCCAAACGGACATGTGAGTCCAAAATTACAATAAACTGTTACTGTAAACCACAAAGAGGAGAATGACTACAACCGGAAACGTCACTGTCACTTCTCAGTAAATGTTTCTCAATTCAAACGAGGAGACATTTTTTTTTAGAGGAACGTTATAGGATGTATACAACAACTTCTTGGAGGTTTTTCAAAATGTCTTAAATCCTTCTTGGTGGTTGCTCCGGTCAGAATGTCTTCTGTAGTCCTTTTATCTCTCTTTTTCTTCTCCTCTTCTCTTCTGTGTGTCTCTCTCACGCTCTCAATCGACCGTCTGTGAGGAGGAAGAAGAGAACAGGAAGTTAACAGCGCAGAGAGCACAGGGAGCATGCTCAGTATGACACACCTCTCCTTCCTTCCTCATTCTCTCTCTCTCGCTGTTAATATTTCACAATTAACTCTTGGTGCAGATAGTCAGGAAGAATAAATGAAATACACTATGCACACACATACACACCTGGCATAATCACTGATAAAGACATGCTCATTGACTCACACTTACTCATAAGATACAGCCATTTGGAAAGCGAAATACTACTTTTTTGAACTTACTAATGATATAATATAATATGCCATTTAGCAGACACTTTTATCCAAAGCGACTTACAGTCATGTGTGCATAAATTTTTACGTATGGGTGGTCCCGGGGATCGAACCCACTACCCTGGCGTTACAAGCGCCATGCTCTACCAATTCAGCTACAGAGGACCACAAACACTTCCTTGAAGGGGAAGCGAACGTATTCATCAGTCCAATTACATTCTATATTATTTATCCTCTAATTCCTTCTCTCTCATCTGCTCTTCTCCTTTGTCCCTCTCTCACACACACACACACAGTTGAGAGCTGCTCTCCACTTCACATTGCGCTTCTACTGCTGTTGCCATGACGATGCTCACTAGGAGCCGAGCAAACAGCGACCCACTCAGTGAATGTGGCACTTATGTACACACTGACACACACACACACACACACACACACACACACACATACACATATATACTCCTCATTTACTCATACATATAATGCAGACACTGGTAATTACAGCACTGCTTTATGTATGTGTGTATTGATACAGTGTTATAGGTGAGTGTGTGTGTGTATGCAGAAAACAATGTTATGCTAAGGGAAAGGGCAAGAGAGAATGAGAGGGAGAGTTATGAGGGTTGATATTCAGAATCTGTGCCACTCTTTCTAAGCTAGCCTATATACACCCACCTTCTAAGCACAGAATGAGTCATAAGAGCGTCATAACTGTGTCCTGGCCTGGTTTCCTCCTCCTAAAGTATGCCTGGCATCTGGACTACAGGTCTATGACAGGTCTATGACAAGGCAAATCTGATTATGATTACAGTATCAGCCTTTGAGTGCAGGAGGCTGAGAGACAGACACAGACAGAGGATCAACCAGTATGTGCACTGAGTCATAAAACATCAGACTTCAGCCCTTGTTGACAGAAGGTTATAGGGGAAAGGGCTGGGCTGACATAGATACTGCATATAGCTAGCCATGATTGATTGAAATACTATTGGGTCAGTGATTGACAGATAGCAGCACCAATCAATAAGAGAGATTTTGGCTGAAAGAACTGGATGTTGTCTGTTTGTTTGCTCTCTTGCCTTGCACAACCCTTCATAACAGCCAATAACCACAGTTAATATAGGTTGACCCACAGCGATAGCGTTAGACAAAGGCTACAGGCTATCACCACAGGTTGTGTTGAAAGAAGAACATTGAACTATATTGATGAAACTGCAGTAGATTTCCACCACGTTACAGACGCACACACACACGCGCGCTGAGGTGGAAAGAAACATTCTATGTTATCCCAGCAGCAGTGCAGTAACCATTGTGCCTCTTCCCTCCCTGATCTGCTTGGCTGGCGGGGTGAAGTGAAGGGCCACTGTTGAATCACGGATAGCTACGGAGTATAAAAAGTACGGCAATTTATATACACTATATATACAAAAGTATGTGGACACCCCTTCAAATGAGTGGATTCGGCTATTTCAGCCACACCCGTTGCTGACAGGTGTATAAAATCGAGCACACAGCCATGCAATCTCCATTGACAAACATTGGCAGTAGAATGGCTTTACTGAAGGGCTCAGTGACTTTCAACGTGGCACTGTCATAGGATGCCACCTTTCCAACTAGTCAGTTCGTCAAATTTCTGCTCTGCTAGAACTGCCCGGTCAACTGTAAGTGCTGTTATTGTGAAGTGGAAACGTCTAGGAGTAACAACGGCTCTGCCGCGAAGTGGTAGGCCACACAAGCTCACAGAACGGGACTGCCGAGTGCTGAAGCGCGTAGCGCGTAAAAATCGTCTGTCCTCGGTTGCAACACTCACTACCGAGTTCCAAACTGCCTCTGGAAGCAACGTCAGCACAATAACTGTACGTCGGGAGCTTCATGAAATGGGTTTCCATGGCCTAAGATCACCATGCACAATGCTAAGCGTCGGCTGGAGTGGTGTAAAGCTCGCCACCATTGTACTCTGGAGCAGCGGAAACGCGTTCTCTGGAGTGATGAATCACGCTTCACCATCTGGCAGTCCGAAGGATGAATCTGGTTTTGGCTGATGCCAGGAGCACTGACCTCAATCCCATCAAACACCTTTTGGATGAATTCGAACACAGACTGCGAGCCAGGCCTAATCGCCCAACATCAGTGCCCTACCTCACTAATGCTCGTGGCTGAATGGAAGCAAGTCCCCGCAGCAATGTTCCAACATCTAGTGGAAAGCCTTCCCATATGAGTGGAGGCTGTTATAGCTGCAAAGGGGGGACCAACTCCATATTAATGCCCATGATTTTGGAATGAGATGTTCGACTTTTGTCATGTAGTCAGCAGAGATGGTAATAGCCCTCTCATCATACACTCTTAGAACAAAGGGTTCCAAAAGGGTCTTCAGCTGTCCCTATAGGAGAATCCTTTATGGTTCCAGGGAGTACCTTTTTTGGTTCCACGTAGAACCCTTTTGGTTCCACGTAGAACCCTTTTGGATTTCATGTCAAAACCCTTTTGGATTCCATGTAGAACCCTCTAGTGATAGGGGGAACAAACAGATAGTTACATATCGGGATATTATTTCTGACGATATATCAAATCGTACCATTCTGACAATATCGCAAAATTATTTTTGCACTAGTTTGCTGTACCTGCAACAAAATTCCAATATTTTTCCTTCATAGCTTGTTCTCCATCTTCTTTTTAAATAGGGAGCCAATTCGTTTTCAGCACTTTTATTTCCATGACTGATCAAAACTCGTTTTCTCATGGCTCTCTCCTGTCCCTCTGCAGCAGCAATATGTTTGGAACATCGAATCGCAATAAAATAACAGTACTGAATCGTAATACATATAGAATCGTGAGAATCGCAATACATAACGTATCGGCACCTAAGTAGTGATAATATCGTATCGTGAGGTCCCTGGCAATTCCGAGCCCCAGAACCCTCTGTGGAAAGGGTCCTATATATGGAACCAAAAAAGGTTCTACCTGGAATCTAAAAGGGTTCTTCAAAGGGTTCTCCTATGGGTACAGCCGAATAACCCTTTTAAGTTCTAGATAGCACCTTTTTTTCTAAGACTGTACCCTCAGGATGGCACTATCCCCTACTCTCCAATGATGAAACATAATTGCCATTTGTGTGCGTGGTGTAAGGTTCTGTGTGTGTGTGTGTGTGTGTGTGTGTGTGTGTGTGTGTGTGTGCGTGGATGATAGCTTTCTATAGCCCTGCGTGAGTGCCTTTTTATGTCTACATGACTCTGTAAGTCGCCATACACACAAGTGTGTGTGTGTGTGTGTGTGTGCGTGCGTGTTTGTGGCAAAATAGATTGTCCCTGGAAACTGTGTAAAAGTGTCCTAGACTGACTGTCAGAAAATAATTCTGTTCATATGTCTCCTATGAGATTCCTTTTCAGAGGTAAAGGAAAATGCGTGATTCTGTGAAAGTCAAGAGAAAAGGCCTTTATGAAAATGCCCTTTTTTCCTTTGGTAACAAATGAGATGTTAAAAAGCATAAAGAAATTCCTCATCTGGTTCAAAAACTCTCCTTCGATCTATACTGAACAAAAATATAAAACGCAACATGCAACAATTTAAAAGATTTTACTTAGTTACAGTTCATATGAAATTAGGCCCTAATCTATGCATTTCACATGACTAGGAATACAGATATGCATCTGTTGGTCACAGATACAGTACCTTAAAAAATAAGTAGGGGTGTGGATCAGAAAACCAGTCAGTATCTGGTGTGACCACCATTTTCCTCATGCAGCGCGACATCTCTTTCATATAGAGTTGATCAGGCTGTTGCTTGTGGCCTGTGGAACATTGTCCCACTACTCTTCAATGGCTGTGCGAAGTTGCTGGATATTGGCGGGAACTGGAACATGATGTCGTACACGTCGATCCAGAGCATCCCAAACATGCACACTGGGTGACGTATGGTGAGTATGCAGGCCATGGAAGAACTGGGACATTTTCCACTTCTAGGAATTGTGTACAGATCCTTACGACATGGGGCCGTGCATTATCATGCTGAAACGTGAGGTGATGGTGGCAGATGAATGGCACGACAATATGCCTCAGGATCTCGTCACGGTATCTCTGTGCATTCACATTGCCATCAATAAAATGCAATTGTGTTCGTTGTCCGTAGCTTAT